CATACAAATACTGTTTGGAAATGTATGAATCCATATCTTTATCCTTCTTTTCTTACACACTACCACCAAGCTATGGATAAATAGCAGAATACCCTTGAGTGGTGAACTGTGAATTTAAAACCTGTATCTATGGTTTAAATAGACTCACCAACACGCAATTGACCAAGCATGTTGAATATGGTTTGAAGTTATGGTCAGTCAGAGAAGGTTTACAAAGATATTATCTGTTTTTCATTAAGAAAAGACTTAACAGTTTGCGGTTAGCGTAACGGCTATCTGCGTCGAAAGTGGAATCGGCTTAGTCAGCTGTAACCACGTTAACACTAATCAGTCTTGGAAAAAGTATAAATCAATTCTTTCAATCGCTTCCAACCCCTCCCGCTATAGGTTAAATAATCATTTAGATTGATTGAGTGATTTGTTTTGTAAGGCTTATCAGCCCTTTGCAGGCTTTTTAAAACAAGAAACTATTTTTAGATTGTAAGAAATTCGGTGTGTGAGGAAGATAATGATGTTATAGTGATACAAGTCTTAACCTATAGCTGGGTAGTTGGATTCATGCCTTTACCAAGGGTATTTACGCGTGAATGAATATAACGAACCCAACTGGAACTGGGACTTAGCTCTTCACTTAACAATTCCGAGCCATTATTCATTACTCCACATGCAAATCCAAGCTTACAGTACCTGGTATTCCCAAGTGATCACCCATCTAGGTACTGACCAGGCGCGATATTGCTTAACTTCGGTGATCGTATGGGTACCGGTGTTTCAACGTGATGTGGTCGTAAGTCAGTCATATAGATAGGACTCCTTATTATTTCCTATCTTCGGACTTTTCAAACATAAACGGCAAACTTTGTACGAGCAAAAAAAAAAAAAAAAAAAAAAATGAAAAGAAAAAGAAAAAACAACAAAACAGCAGAATGTCAAAAGGACGGTTTTTCCCTTGACACCGCTATTATTTTAACTACATTCACTCTTCGGCAATATTCATTGTTTCAAAAATTAATGATTAGAATTGTAATAAAACTTAAACATATGGAAGTGAATTTATACGTTTATTTGTTCTTGAGGATTGGCAACAAAAATAATAAACTATTTTTAAATCGTTTAGTTATACTATGTATTTATTATGTTATTTTAATTGCCAATTGTTTCAAACTTTATAAAATGGTAAATAAGAATTCCCTTATATTTAGTCCTCATATTTTAATAATTTAGTAAATGTTTATAAATTGAATAAAAAATTGTTTTTATATTTATTTCTTTATAAAATGGTAAATGATACATATTGCATTATATTACAGTGTAACCCGGATATAAGAGAGTTGTCGGGAACGGAGAAGAAGTCTCTTATATCCGGGTTTCTCTTATATCCGGGTTTGGTCTATTTTGTTTAGGTAAGTATGGGAACACTTTGGGACCAGAGAAAATCTCTCTTATATCCGGGTTTCTCTTATATCCGGGTTACACTGTAGTTTTAACACAATTTTATTTGTTTTTTGAATGTTGTTATATTTTTGTTGTAAATTCTCAATAACAAAAATGTATAAATTCACTTGCATCATATGTTTAGGTTTTATTACAATTCTAATCATCCTTTTTTTCAAAACAATAAACATTACCGAGGGAGTGAAGGCAGTTAAAGTAATAGCGTTGTCAATGAAAAACAGTTCTTTCGAGACTCTGTATTTTGCAAGTTTCAGGATGCCACATAAACATTGTGCATACGAATAAGAATTACAAAGAAAGTTTTCAGATCCCTCTTATTAATAAAATCCAGAGACTGAATACACTGTAGAAAAATTGTGGATACAAATGCTCTTATTTGTAGCCATAGTGTAGAGTTATTTATCTTTTGAGTCATTATTTATTATTGTTTACTTAGGGTACTTTGTATTTATTCATTAATTATTTGTTGTTTTTTATTATCATCATCAGTTTTATTATTATTAGTTACGTTTTTATGCGTGCATTCGTAGATTGTTAATTTGTTTATTATTTACTTAGCTTGTTAAATTGTTTATTTCTTGTTTGGGGAGTGTTGGTAATTTAAAGTATTGACTTTGTCTAAAGTATGTTACATTATTTCCGTTGTATTTAGTGCATATACTTGTATTTTTATGATGTTTTACAACATATTCGTTTTTAGTTTTCGCTTTTTAAGTAATGTAGTAAATATCTGTTTTGGAGATGAGTTCTAATCGTTTATTTAGTTTTGGTCTGTTGGATTATCGCTATTTTTCTCCTCCAGACATAATTTACAGTTTTGGTATTTGTTGTTGTAAGCCAATGCTCTTTTGATATTCTATGATATTTTTATCGTATTTTGGTTTATGTTTTAGATTTTCCAAGTATATTTATCAAGGGTTGTACTGTTTACTTTTGATAAAGGAAATTTTGTGTGTGCAATTTCTCCATTTCTATGTATATTTTTCTTCGTAATCTGTTGATTTTATTGCGGTTTGATATATTATATTATTTTACAAGCAATTGCTATTTAATGGTGATTCATGCTTTACTCTGCAATTAGACGTAGATTTGATTTGTATAGGTGCATTGTTGGTTATTTTTATGTTAAGCTTTTTAAATTTTATCTGATAATTATTCTATTGAAACTGTCTTCAACGAAGTCAAAAAAGATTATGACACAGCTTAAAATATAGTGTATTTTAAGCAACATTCACATACACAACACACAGTACAAACAAAGTCAACAGGAAAAGAAGCATCCTATAGTTTAATCCACTGTACAAAAGCAAAAAAAGAAACTTGATAACAAACGTAGTAAAAATTAAAACTCATACACAAACACTTCCACCCATGAAGCACTCAAGATATTCAATATAAATACGGTAAATTCAGCTACATTTACACTGAGAACATGATCCGAATAATAATAATGATAATAATAATAATAATAATAACAACAATAATAAATCATCTATAACTACAGGGCAAAGCGTGAATGTCCCTTAAATAGCAATTGCTTGCAAAACTGATTTTGGTAAGGGCAACGCCTTTGCTTAGAAAGATCTTGGGTACACCAGTCTGCTCAGATGGTCTCTAACAGTGTGGTTTCTAAGCAGCTATATGTGACTCCAATGTCACCTTGGCTTCCTCATCCTTCAAACTTAAAAAACACTTTCAGCAGACGGTTATAATACTCCCCTATTATTTCCACGCATAAACAGAGATGTACAGTGTGTCAGCCCCTAGGGGACATGCCCAACTTGTTACGTTTATGCAACTGACAAACAATTCAGACTTAACGGAATATTTGCCCACCTTAATTCACCAAGACAAAATTTGTACATGTACCTCTCTTCAATTAAGATCAATAACTATGAAAGTCGTGTTTGTTGAAAGCCAGAGCATTTATTTATTTATTTATTTATTATTATTATTATTATTATTATTATTATTATTATTATTTTCTTTGATTTCTGGCGTTTACACATTTCTTTCCGGGTCCCGCCCAGGAACCTAAGGTTAGAAATGCCGTCATGACACTCTCCACTGACAAAAAAAAAAAAATAGATAGATAGATAAAGCCCTTCGTAAAGTGTGGGTTGTACTTGTGAGAAGAAGTTTTTGTATCTCTTTGAAGCATGGGATTCCAGGAATCCCTTCAATTAGTCTACTACAATCTTTTCCAACCAATCCTAGGGCTCCAACTACAACAGGGATTGTTGATGTTCCCATATGCCACATTTTTGAGATTTCAAGGTCCTTGTATTTTGATAGCTTTTTGAATATCTTCAAAGATACATTGCAGTCTGCAGGGACTGCCATATCAATAAGGAGGCACTTTTTTGTTTGTGGTTTTTAATAACAGTTATTATTATTATTATTATTATTATTATTATTATTATTATTTCCTTTGATTTCTGTTATATAAACATTTCCTCCAGGGTTCCAGCCAGAGATCTGAAGTCAGAAATGGCGTCATGACATTTTCCAATGATCATTTTTTGTATAAAAACTATAAGATCACATACATTTTACATAGATAAAGCTCGTGTGAGCCGTACATTTTTTTTTTGTATTTATTTAAGGCATGTGCAAGCAGGAATCTCTTCACGGAGTCTCTTGTAACCTTTTCCAATCAATCTGGGGTCTTCAATACAACTGGAATCAGTGATGTCCCTTGTACCACATTTTTTAGATTTTCACTTCAAGATCATTGTATTTTGATAGTTTTTTTTTTAAAGATCTTCAAAGATACATTACAATCTGCAGGAAATCCAATGTAAATAAGAAAGTACATTCTGTTCTTGTGGTCTTTGATCATGATGTCTGAGCGATTAGCTTTGATTGTTCTATCTGTGTGTATTCTAAAGTCCCATAATGTGGCATTAAGGCTCATTCTGTCTAAGTATTTTCAGTTACAGTAAATTTTGGTTCTAAGGCGGGGCGAGTAATAAAAATCATAAAGGCCAGAAATAACAGAAGTAAGGAAGCTGTGGAAAGCTGCGATATCCCACATCCTGAAAGGATGTGACACATGAAAGAGTTTAACGCCAATTGCACTTAATTCCATGTGCGCAAGCAAGGGTTTTCATTTCTTTTTCTTATACAATTTTTACTACTATTTCAATAAAGTCTTAGTACCTATCTTCAGTATTAAACTAAGATATGCCTAATCAACAATTGTTACATGTTCTATCTCTGTAACCGGGTCTGGATGATATTTTTATTATTATATTATTATTACTATTGTGTGTGGTATAATCTTGTCAAAGATTATTTTTAGGTGCTTAATTATTAAGTCCCTTTGGAGTCTATGAATAAAAAGGGCTGTGTAGAAGAGTTATCTACGCATATTCCAAACGTTTCGTTTAAAGGCAAAGAGTTTTGCGGAAGATATGTACAGTTACGCACAAAGAAAACTTTTGCAGCTATGAGTTACTGATGTATCCAGGAACATTACCCACATGGTTTTCAGTACACTTCTTCATCATACCCAATGTCCCTTTGACCACAGGGATAATTGTAGCTTTAAGTTTCCACATTTTTATTACTTCGATTTGTAGCTCCTTATAATTTAACAGTTTTTGATATTCTTAAGAAACATTGGGTAGGTCATAATAATTAGCTGGCAGGTTCCTTTTTTAAAATCTTTTATGACTATGTCTGGTCTGCTTGCATCAATTTTCCTGTCTGTGAAGACGGTGAAATTCAGCAGTATAGTCATCACCATTTGTAGCATCATTCGGGTGGTGTTTTTACCATGTATATGGTACTTCAATACCATAGTTCGAACAGACATGTCAATTAATATATTATCCTAGCCTGACATTTCTAATAATGTATTATTTCTCAACAAGAAGCGGGCACCCTGATACTATGCGGAAAACAGATGCATCTAATTTATGGCTTAAGCAACAGGAGCGATTTGAACCATTTTTGTTGAATTTAGCTTTGTAGACATTAGTTGGAAGTATTATTGTTACTATTATTTTATTATTTCCTTTGATTTCTGCTGTATACGCATTTTCTTCCGGGTCCCAACCAGAGACCTAATGTCAGAAATGGCAACATGATATTTTCTAAGCATTTTTGTTAAAAAAAATACAAATAACCGAACATTCATTTTACATAGACACACATTTTACTTAGCTATTTGTAATGTGTGAGCTGTACTTGGGAGTACAATTTTTGTATTTCTTTAAGGCATGGGCTACCATGAATCCCTTCAATGTGTCTATCAGAACATTTTCCAAAGAATCCGAGGACTCCAGCAACAACTGGAATTATTGATGTTCTCATGTGCTACATTTTTTTTTTTTTAGATTTCCACTTGAAGATCCTTTTATTTTGATACTTTTTTGAAGATCTTAAAAGGTATATTACTATCAACATGGATTGTCATGTCAATAAGAACGTACATTCTGTTTTTGGTGTTTTTGATCACTATGTCTGGGCGATTACCTTTGATTATTCTGTCTGTGTGTAAAGTTCCATAAACTTATCACATGTCCTATGTCTGAAACCGGGTGTCGGGGGGGGGGGTACCAGTTATCATCATCATCATCATCATCATCATCGTTATAAATATAGATTTCTGCTATACCTACCAATTCTGTGGAAAGACCTAAGGCAGTTAGTGGTGTGTTGTTATGGCTACATTTCATGATTTTTTTTTTAACTCCCATAACATCACTAGCTTTACATGGACAAAGTCCTTCTTAGTGTGTGGGCTGTACTTATCAAGACAATTTTTTTTATATTTCTCTCAAGCTGGGACTTCCAGGGATTTTTCAGTGTGTTGTTGTGTTCCTTTTTTATCATTTCAAGCGTACCTATTATGCTGGTATTATTCTTGTTTTCAATTTTCACATTTTTTTCTATTTCGATTTTCAGATCTTTATATTTCAATAGTTTTTCAAATTCCGTGGTTGCTATATTACAGTCCGCTGGGCAAGCAATATCAATTAGTAGGCAAGAATTTTTCTTTTCGGTTTTTAACAATTATGTCTGGCCTGTTTGCTTCAATCTTCCTGTCTGAAAAGATGGCGTAGTCCCATAAATTTGTGATGTCTTCTATTTCTGTATCGGTCCTGCTGTTTGTTAATATCTTTTCCAAAGTGTTTGCACATTGTCCAATATAAATTTTGCCCAAATCATTCATGACAATTTTTATATTCATTTGGCCCAAGTACAGAACATCCTGAGATTAAATGGTCTATGGTTTCCTGATATTTGTCACGGAACCTGCATTTTGGATCCACACTGTTATGTATGATATTTGCCTGAAAGTTCCTAGTGAAAAGACTCTGGTCTTCCGCTGCAAGAATAAAGCCATCCGTTTCAGCCTTTAACCCAGATACTTGTAACTATTGATGAGTGTTAACTTTATCAACATCGTCTTTATTAGCCTCGTTCTGGATATTGGCCATACAGAGGTTTCTCTTGCCAGCGTTGTTTCATCTGTTCAAGAACTTTATCCTTGGCTTTCTTTTTCATATTTTTTGCTACAACAGTTGGTTCTTGGGTTCTGTTTTGGTTTTCTACAGAATCTACTAAATGTAAATCTCGTTTGTATTTACAACCTTCTTTCATGATTGAATATTTTTCTTTCTTTCTTTTTTATTATTATTATTATTATTATTATTATTATTATTATTATTATTATTATTCATTATGTTTTCCTACTAGTACATTTCCCTCAAGTTGAAGTATCATAAAATCTTTTAAATCTTAAAGTCTTTTAAATCTACTTTTATATGTGATATTACTAAAGCCTTAGCCCCAAAGTTTATTATTATTATTATTATTATCATTATTATTATTATTATTATTATAACGAGATATAACACAGCTATAAATTACGCATACATAACAAAACTTTTCAAAAATCTGTATTGGCTGATTTAACTATTGTGTATATATGATGACAGAACAAGCATGAAAAATCTGCTAATTTGAATTTTACTAGCATAAAATTAGAAAATAACAATTTTAGAACATTAATTATAAAAAATATGTCTATATTTTTTAGATGAGGTATTGTAACTATTTACACTATTTACATTGTTCCGACTGTTGTCCACATCTTTATTGCCATATTCACCTTCAACATCTGTCTCTATTTCTGAGTATTGTAACTATTTACACTATTTACATCAAACGGACTGTTGTTCCTATTCTTTATTGCCATATTCACAACGTTTCAGCCGTTGTACGCTCTGGCCTTCTTCGTTAGAATTTCGAGCCGAACACAAAAAAAGCACATGGAATTAGTACAATCTTCCCCCATGGACTAAATAAAGGGTTCGGTAGGAAATTTCAAAGTATATCACCTGAAGAAGGCCGGAGCGTACAACGATCGAAAAATCGTGAATGTGACAATAAAGATGAGGACAAAAGTCTGAATGATGTAAGTAGTGTAAATAGATAATTATGAAGTTTAAATTTTTCCTTTATTTACCGTTTCTACCGTGATGAAAAAATACGCCCAGCTAGCATATTTTTAGGAGTCAAACATTATATCGAAGAGCCACATATGTTACACGAGCAGCAGTTTAACAATTGTCATATACTAATGTTCTATGATAAAACCATATTTGTTTGGACATTTACCAATGGAAAACCCTTTCTACTTAGACAAACCTATTTTTGTTTTCTAAGTTAATTTGCTGTATTCATTTACTATATGGTTGATTGTTACTTACACCATATAGCCAGCGTTTGGTATTCTTCACCGACATATAACGATCATTTCCCCTGCAATTTCTTAATATTGTATTTTTCCGTACATTTGTTTAACTCGCAATTTGTGATCCTTATTTGCAGATGTCTTACTTGTCTTTCTACTAGTTTACGCACACACACACACACATTCAAATTCATAACATAAATATATTATAAGATCACTACGAAATTTGCAATTTTGTTTCAACTTTGCTGGTGTTTTATCAAGTGATGATGTTGAATGGAAAATAAACGCTTTTAAGAGTTCAAAAGCCAACCTCATCGCCTCAGTAGGGGGAAACATTGTTACGTAACCTGCGATGACTAATCAGAATACAAGTATATGGTAATTTAAAATAACATCACATCATACTCTAACATCTTTTAGTGCAATAAAGTTAAGATTAGATTAAATTAGAAATCAATATAAAAATTAAAGTTAACAGTTGAATTTAGAATTAAAAATTTCAGATTTCAAATTCTAAAATTAACCAAGCATCAAGTTTTTTTGTTTTTTTTTAAGATTACTCAGAAATGAAACCAGGAGAAAAAATATTTATAATTTATTATTGTTCTTAGCGAAGTGTCAATTTATCAGTGAAGTTCGACCCTGATAAAAAAAAAAGTATCTCCGATTGCTACACATATCTGATACATGGAAGTCTGAATTCAAATAAGGAGCTAGGTAGGGAAGGGAATTTTCAAATGACAGCACAAACACATTCAAATAATAATACACAAACACGTATGTATAAAGGCGGGTAAATATTTGAGCACGCAAATACAGAAAAGTATTTACACAGGAAATAGAAGGAAAAATATAAAATGAGTACCAGCCCTGTATTTGTGTGCGTGTATATATATATATATATATATATATATATATATATATATATATATATGTGTGTGTGTGTGTGTGTGTGTGTGTGTGTGTGTGTGTGTATATAGAAAATAGGAAAGAACCGTTAGGTTAATAATCCGAAGTTCTTTAGGATTTTGTTTTATTTTTAAAAACAGTGCTCAATGCACAAGTAGAGCCTAAATTATAATGATTTTTTTTAAAATATGATTCCATCGCTACATAAGAGTTCTCATGTTTCAAAAACAGACGCTAAAAACTTCAATTTAATTATAGAAATTGAATTGAAGTACCCAGCTCTGTTTCATCCTCAAGCGAATTTTGGAATTGATTAAACTGAATTAAATATATATATATATATATATATATATATATATATATATATATATATATATATATATAGTATATTGGTAAGAATCAAACTTACACACATCTTTTTTAATGAACCAACTTTTGTTCTTGCGTGCTGTTACCGCTCGGTCATGGAGAACGTTACTAATAAGGTTCTATTTTATCTTTTTAAGGAAAGCACATCCACTTCCCTCAGATTATTTTATCGAAAGTTTCACATCGAATTAGATTCGTATCTGAAACTACCGTTACTATCGTGGATACTTTGTATTTAATATAGACGATCAGTTTTTATTTATTAAACAGTGTGTATTACATACACGCATTCGAGAAATCTTCGTTAAAAAAAAAAAAGTTGTTCCCCAGCAGAGATCGACCCTGCACCCTTCTTCTTAGAGGAAACTAACGTTTGATCAAGTGTACCTGTATCAATTGAATGTATTCTTTCTTTCTTTCTTTTTTTCTTTCTTTCTTTCTTCGAAATACATATTTTGTTTCTTTCTTATTCCTCAGTGATAATTATATATTTATTCTTTCTTTCTTACTTACTTTTTTCTTCCATTTTTTTCTTCTTTTATCTTCAACTTACCCGTTCAACTTTCACACGAATCACAGATATTGACTCACACTGGAAATCAAGGGACAAGATTCTTCTTTAGTGTTTTTGGTAATGTTAGTAATTCTGCTTTCTGTGTGTTTTCTATTCTTCATCAAATTTCCAATACAGTGTAACCCGGATATAATAGAGTTGTCGGGACCGGAGAAGAAATCTCTTATATCCGGGTTTCTCTTATATCCGGGTTTGGTCTATTTTATATACATTAACACAGGCTCTAATTTGGGACCAGAGAAAATCTCTCTTATATCCGGGTTTCTCTTATATCCGGGTCTCTTATATCCGGTTTCACTGTATTTCCAGAACATGATGAAAAATACATAATGTCCGCTAATAATAATTTTAAAAAATCTTGAAGATGGAAAAAATTTATTAGAAAAACGGATTCCAGTATGTCTAGATATTTTTATTTATAAAAAACATTGAAGGTTGTAATTGCTACTAATTACATAATTATTACTCTAGATAAAAATTAAAAAGTTGAATTGCTCGAAATAAAAACAACATTTTCCCCGCAAACGCATGCGCATACACAAATACACACATGTCAATCGATATATACATTTCTCTGTCTTTATCTGTTTTCTGTCTTTTTCACATTTGTGAGTGTGCGCGTGCGTGTGTAAGAATGTGTATGTTGGGGAGTGATTGTGATATCCGGGTTACACTGTACTTTGGGCTCTTTGCAATTTTTTTCGGTACAGTTCCAAACGCATTAATAATGAGTGGCCACATTCAAGTTCCGTTATTATTATTATTATTATTATTTCTTTTGATTTCTGTTGTATACACATTTCCGTCCGGGTTCCAAGCAGAAACCTAAGGTCAGAAATGGCTTGATGACATTTTCCAATGGTTATTTTTGTAAAAGACGAAACAAAACGAACCCTAAGATCGCATACATTTTACATAGATAAAGCTCTTCGTAATGTGTAAATTGAACTTGTGGGTACATTTTCTTTATATTTCTTTAAGGCATGGGATAGTAGGAATCCCTTCAATGTGTCTATCGGAACATTTTCCAATCAACCCGAGGGCTCCAACTACAACTGGAATTGTTAATGTCTACATGCGTCACGTTTTTGAGATTTCGATTTGCATTTTTTTTTTTTTTTTTTTTTTGAGATCTTTGAAGATACATTACAATCTGTAGGGACTACCATTTCAACAAGAAAACACATTCTATTTTTTGATCTTTCATCACGATGTTTGGGCGATTAGCTTTGATTGTTCTGTCGTTGTGTTGTGTAAAGTTCCATAAAATCACTACAGTTTCTATCTCCGTACCCAGCTTTTAACACAAGCAATAAATCTCCGACTGCTCTTTTATGACGACAAATCTCTCAATATTCTAACACATATGACAGTATTTTTTCTGAATTTAGCTATTTATCATTGAAGTAGGTAACTACTTCGTATAAGACTCATGGGTGTATAAGACGCACCCCAATTTCAGCAGCGCAAATCAAGAAAAAACTTAGTAATTAGTAAAATTAGTAAAATTATTAGTAAATGCTACAGCCTAGACTATATTTATGAGGTATTATTTTGGTTAAACAAGCCATAATTACAATTAAACAAAAAATAATAGGAATAAGATAACACGAGCCTATAAAAATTCTATTATACCCTTTATATGATTTGTACAACCTGCGTCTTGTAAATGCCTTATTGGAGGACGAATATTTTCTGTGAAAATTTCTCGGACATTCAGGCCGGTAAATGTTAATACTGTTTATTATAAACAGCGCATTTACTTAAATATTTGTATCTATAAAAAGAATGTATAACATAAAAATGTCTTAAAAATAATTGTCAGACTTTGTCCATTTTTACAATGTGTAAACGTCATTTGTTTACATTAGATACGCCATGAGTAGATATGAATGTACGTGAGAGATTCATGGATGATTAAAGTTTAAAGGCAGTAAATTCGATATTGCTAACCCTGTGGCGAAATCGGTAAAAGCATGTCAGGCTATATGACGGTTCCGATTAGGATACAGGTTCGAATCCTGTCGGAGGACGAATATTTTATATGAAAATTTTTCGGACATTCAGGCCGGTAAATGTTGTTCAATACTGTTTATTATAAACAGCGCATTTACTTAAATATTTGTATCTATAAAAAGAATGTATAACATAAAAATATCTTAAAATAATATATATTAAAGGTATAAAAATTCTGATTGTATTTATACCAAAGCAACCGGAAGTCATCGCAAGAAAAATATTAATGAAACAAATATATTTTACAAATATATAATTTAAATTTATTGCATATAATTTTAGTGAAACAAAGTCACAATATTAAATGTGATGAAATTAATATAATGAATATTATCAATGATAACACTTTCAAACTGTATAATAGGTTTTGAAATAATGATAACAGATATATGAAAATTACTCTAAAGTCTAAGCTAATAAAAATTGCCAGGTAACTAATTTCAGCCGATTATCGCGAATTTTAACCCTACATATGGCATCATATAAGACACAGGGGAATTTTAAAAGATATTTTGATAAAAACAAGTACGCCTTATATGCCCTCAGATACGGTAGATATCATTAATTTAATTGTTTATAACCCCATTTACTAAGTATCCTTAGGTAAAAAAAAAAAAAATCCCGCTACAAAAGCTTCTTCCCAAGAAATCTAAGGTCAATAGTTATATATCAGACCTAACTTCATAATTTTAATTCCATTCTTTCTCCTATGTTCGTATCATACACATTATTCAAGAAGTTCTACCTTGAGTAACTCTTGGAATTTGTATTTTTGTGAACTTTCGTAATAATAAGATCAACAACAGTTAAGATGCCAAAACAACCAAATAATCGATTTGATAGTTTAAATTATTTCTCGGATTTTCAGTTCTTTCTTTCTGAGAGATTTTTGCGAATGGTCGAAAAGAATAAAAATGATAGTATTGTAGCATACCTACAGACGATAATGGGTATGTCCCCCATTCACATAAATACAGTAGTAAATACTGTATGTTGGTCTGCATTTGGTGATTCGTCTCCAGCTGTACTGGTCACACTCTCTGACTCCGGGCAAAGAGAATCCCCAGACGATACTATGTCGAAGGGCAGAGTCTCGTCTGGGGAAACAGCTACCCGACCCCGTTTTTATACGAGGAATTATTGGCTGAGCCTGGAAAAAGGAAATAACCCATTAAATTCGTTGTGCCATCTGACCGTATGGGACGGTTGATAGATATCCTGCAGTTGGAAATCCGTCTGCAGCTGTTCTGGTCAAACTCGCCGCCTCCAGCCAAAGAGGATCCCCAGACGAGGCCAGAGTTTCGTCTCGGGAAACAGCTACCTGACCCCATTTTATATGGGACCTACTGGGCGTTTCTGGCCGAGCCTACGAGCTAGGATACCCCACATTAAATTCGGTTTTGTGCCACATCTGACCGCGTGGGGCGGTTGGTAGATATCCTGCAGTCAAAGATTCGTTTCCAGTTGTGTTAGTCAAACTCTCTGCCTCCGCGCAGAGAGAATCTCCAGACAACATTATGTCGAAGTGCAGAGTCTCGTCTCGGGAAACAGCTAAACGGCCCATTTTTATATGGGATCTAGGGGGAAGTTTTGGCTGAGCCTATGCTGGCGAGTCTTATACGTGTTGTTCTTGTCCTAAGTATTATCGTTCATTACCAACCTGCTCGTGATTATTCCATGTAGTAACCTTCCCTAATTTACAACAGATAGCTATATTCTTCACGTTCATATTACACAATTTGTCACGCCCTCTATTTTAATTTATTTTTCCCTTTATTTCGATATCACTTTGTCGAATGGCGACACCAAATAACTGAGAGTTCCCCTTTATGATTACCAAATCTAGACAACAGGATTGAATGATATTTTCGAATATAAAGCTTCTTTTTATTTTTTTAACTAATGTTTACCTAATATATTGCCAAAGAACGACTCTAGGCAGAGAGTTACTAAAGTGGGTAAGTTTTATGGGCGTAAGAGGAAGTTGTACGAAGTAAAAATTATGAGGGTGTTGTAACCTAGGGATGGTTACTAAACAGAATAATCGCACGAAGGTTGGTAATGAACGATAATATTTAGGACCAGTAGTGGGATACAAAAAATTTAATAAAAGGTTCTATGAACTTTAGAAACTGGAGGTCAAGTGTGAAAAACGGTCAAATGCCAGTCAAGTACAGGTATAAGACGTCTAGCAGGGTGTGACCCAGAACACAAATAAATAAATTTTGATTTAGACAACTCTTAAGGTCAACAAGAAAGATATAACAGATTCTGGAATATTTTCATATAATAATTTACTATTTTAATGGTGTATTTAGCTGCTGTTTGGACTAATAAAGAAATATAACAACAAAAATCTTTTACCATTGTATTTATTATTGAAGATATTCATTCAGTTTTACTTTGTTTCCATATTGTCACTTGATTTCTATCATAGTGTTACCTGTTTTCATTTTACTCTGCTGCCATCAGCACTATGGGCTTTTTTTTTTAAAACCATTTATTTACTGAAAGTGGAACATCCCACAAATCTAACGGGATATCCAAAAAGATTGTCATTAATTTGTTATCTTTTTAACAATGAGGCTATTTTTCTTGTTTTTATATATTATGTTCATTAGCGAGAATTGCTATGCTGTTAATAATCTTCTTGGCTCTTTGTACACTTTGTGTAAATACATGCACATGCTGCGTACTTCTGGCACAAAATTTACTTAGAGCATTTTCCACATAACCCCTGAATTCATTCACATGAACATCATGTTTCAATATTTGATTAAGTTTATCATGTTTTATTTTCTGCTGCCACCCGTGGTACAAGGATTTCTTCCACATATCAAGGTTTTTTTTTTCATCAAGCACCTCAATGATTTCTTTTTTTTGGTCATTGTTTGTTGCGTAAACTTGCTCATCAGCAATTAATCTTTTCTTTGTATTTTCAATTATTGCATCCAATAGTTTTTTT